TGGGGGGGGGGGGGGGGGTAGAAATCCGGGCCTAGCTGGGCACTGTTGGCGTTGCTGTTTCCACTTTCTGCCTTGATGTTGGTGGCGTTATGCAATCGTTGTGAAACGAAACTTGGCAGATGAGGTAGGCCTACTTATATGTGTCCTGAATATTCATTACAAATTTTAGATAGTTCCAACGCTTCCTTCCATTTAGGCAAAAAGGGTATTCCCAAAGTTATACTTTAAGGTCATAGTTTAAATGTCACACGGGATAGCCTATGGTCAGCTAATATAATAATATAATCGGACTTACGTAAAAGAAAGGAGAAATTCCCATGATCTATAAATATTATCACGTGATGTAAGTGTGGTTGTTTCGTCACAAAATAGTGAAGACGTTTTGGTACAGGTCAAGTCACAACTTGTTCGTTACGGCAATTTATGTCTTAATTCTGTGTGTCATGGAAACTGTAAATTTATAAATAAAATTCAAATCAAACATATTTTCACTTGTTAACGACGCCATTTGGACTATTTGCTTTAAAATTGCTAGTTTCGAAATATTTTACTGGAACGTTAAGAACTATCCAAGGGAAGATTACTCTCACAGTATAAACAACAATGGAGACTTCGGCAAGCAAATTTACTTTTATGGCTTTAAAAAATAAGAAATTCACTTCGATCGAAGGGAAAGACAATCAAGACAACCTTCTAAAATGGTGAGATTTTGGTCGTGACTCCTTGAACGACTTTGTAAATATTCTTACTCAATAAATTGCGACATTTTCTTCTTCTTCTCTTTTTCTGATTTGTGCTAATAGGTAGCCTAGAGGACTTGTTTCGCAAATTCCTCGGAATATCAAGTTTTGACAACTTTTAGAAATTAAAAATTCGGTTAAAAGAAGTTCTGATAGTCTTAGACAGAACTTGTGTTGTCCAAAATTTGATTTCAAAACTGTTCTCTGTAAAACTAAATTTATAGTGTGTGCTCATGTTTATCAAAGCAAAGTTATTCTAAGACTAACAGTGCCCTTTTGTATTTTGAAGCAATCTGTAAATTTGATAAATGAATGTATGATAATTTGATGCCTTGGTCTGCGTTTACATTTTGATACCAAGCCATTTGAATTTTTTTTTAAGGTGACGAGTTCTGCAGTCGGTTTATGCCATGTAATAAAGTGAACTCTTATTTGATTGTAACGTTATTATTTTTTTATTTTTTAGGTCCATGAAAGGCCGAATTAAAGCAGAGATGTTTTGTTTTGACCAGGTTTTCCAGGCATATGAAAAAGACCAGTTTGTCAAGGTTTGTTCTCATATTGTTATTTCTAATCAATCAAAGAGTGTCAGATGGGACCTGGTTCTTGATAACAGCGGTTAACCTAGGGCAGTGGCCTGTGTATGGGGGAGCCCGGGATTGGTCCCTACACTCTCAATTTTTGTTTTAATTTTTCATAGTGAAAGAATGGCCTATGGCCCCCTGGGAACATTAACTTTTCAGGAAATTTCTATCTTTCAATTTCGGAAATGATCTATGAATTCAAAAAGTAAACATTTTCTTTTTCATAGTTGGAATGTATGTTGAAGTTTTTCAAGTTTTTTTTCTCCTTTCATTTTAGGATTTTTTCACAGACAGTAATGTGTACAACAATCTTAGTATTTTGACCGATAGTGGACGATGGTCAACTGTAGGTAGGTATAAGCTTATTTCAAAGGTAACCTACCTCTTAGGATGACCAAAAATTTTAAACTTGCTCAAAATGAGTCTTCAGTGGAGCTTGTGTCAAAACTATATGACAGAATCTATAATCCAATAAATCCATAAAACCATGTGGTTATCTATTAAACTAGGTAATTTCGAGGTTCAGAATGGGTGCATTCAGAGGCGTATTAGACTAGCAGACTTGATAAGCTAGTCTAATATTCCTTGGAGTGCACCTATTGTTCACGTCGCTGGAAAGGGCAGCCAGGTGATTGGTCAAACAAAGGTTAACAGAATGAAAAGTCAATAAGGACAGTGTTAGACCTTACTGTAGTGGTTACGTACAAAGCTAATAAAGCTAATAAACGAAAGTAATAAAAGACGAACTGAAGTAAGGTCTAATTTTAATATGCCGAAGGCCGACAGAATTCAAAATGGCGAGGCAAGGAATAGAAGGAACCAATCAAATGCCACCTTGTCACATTCAAATTCTTTATCTTTCAGGCATTCCATTATCAGCTGTTACTGTGGAAACAGTGCCATGCTCTGTACTGTCCATGACACTATTTGATCGTCTCCATGACAACAATATAGTTAGGGAATCTGGTGCTATCTGTAAATGTCTGGATGAATTTTATGAAGATTTTACCATTTCTGATGAGCTGAGAAAGGTATTTGTTATTTTTTTTCAAATCCATTTTAATGGCAGTCAGTTATAGCAGAATCCGAAAATTTGAATAAATGGTAAGGGTTTGTCTAATACCCAAAGAAGGGCTAATTGTATATAAACGACAAAAAAAATACCAATATCATCTCATTCATCGATGAGTTCAAAATGCCATGTTATGATTTCATGCCATTTGTGTAGCAGAGTGGTTGATTACTAGATTTCCAAAAGTGAAATAATGACTAAGGTTTGTCTAAAACTGAAAAAAGGACCAATCTTATAAAACTGACAGAAGCAAAAACTGGCTAAAAATCTCCCCAATTTTGCTTATGTATTGTTGCAGTGTGAATTATAAATGTTATGAGTTATTGCCCTTGACTTTAAAATGTTATATCTTGTTTCTACCTGACTTAAAATGAGTTATTGCCCTTGACTGTCAGATGTTATATCTTGTTTCTGAATAACTTAATATGAGTTACTGCCCTTGATTTTCAGATGTTGTTACAAGAAGACAGTGATCATTATGATACCTATTCTGAGTCAGACCGAGAACAGTTTTTATTTTGTTTGTTTAAACACGTCTGTCTGGGAGGACAGGTGTGCCAATACGAAGATGATATCAAGCCTTATTTGGACATGACAAAAGACATCTATAAAGATTTAATCAGGTAAGCTTATAGCCAATTTATTACAAATTGATTATATTTATTTATTTTTTTTTTTTCTCCTTTTTTGAAATCTAACAAGTTTTCTACCACAGTACTGTTCTGAAGACATTATTATCAACCAGCAGTGTAAGGTGCAATCTTAGGTTCTTTGTTTTTTTTCAGTGTACAGAAAAACAGCGAGACTAAAGTATTGAATATCATCTCCAGTGTATTTAAAGTAACTGCAGGGGTAAGTACAGCCTGAAAGCTTTGGCAGATATGATATACAGATGATGCGATAGCGTCAAATCTGGCCCTGCACGTTCCTCGGATGTGAAATTCGACTGGGACAGCGTCAAATCTTGCCTTACTCGTTAAGTTAAGCCTAGCCTACCTCTGGACAGTATTTTGGTACTGTGTGGGGTATAGGGACACTGTAGAATCACTGTAGTAATTTTTTTACATATTTCTACCGTGTTTCACTGTAACAGGAATTAGGATCAAAGTAATAAATCTTAATATGGTGTTACCTCAGATTATCTTCCAATTTTTTTTTTCTGACTCAAGTTGGATGACACCTGCCTATTCGATATCATCCATCTGAACTATTTTTTGTTATTTTTTTATGGTTGAGAGTAACAGAAATATCACGAAAGAGAAATTTAAAAAGCTTTTATATTTAGATTAACATAGTAACAATAATGATAATAAAAATATGAAAAAATTGCACATCATACTGAAGTCAATAAAACACCATAAATTTTGCCAAAGTATTGTCTTTTGATCCAGGACATAGGTTTAAATCCCTTTTGATTTCTGATTTTTTAATCCCTGACCATTGCACACTGCATGGCGTGGTTTTGAAGATGTCAGAGAGTAGAGTAAAACAATTATTTATTTGCTTCATAAAATGCAGTCTGAAATGCTTCACGTAAGAGGGATATAGTCATTTAAAGAGTCCCTTTCTCAGCAGCTGAATCTCCATTCAAAATTGAAATCTGACTTATGGTTTGTTAACAATTAAAGTTTGTTATTGCCATAATGCACTCTGTCAACTGTTAAAGAAACTATTTAAACCACAGTATCCCTTGAATATAATGGAATGATAAAATGTGAAATATATTATAAAAAATCTTTTAAGGAATGGTGCCATTTAGTTAATAGGAATATCAATTAAGCTTAAGGAAGCTCACCCAGATAGATTTTCTATAGGGAAATTTTGTATTGTGACACTTAAAAAGTGAAAAATAATTGCATTTGCAATAGTGACCTCATAATCTTGTCTAGTTTTTCTGGAAGGACATGGTAATCAAAGCTATAAAATGTTAGAAAAACAAAAGCTAAAAAAGACCTCAAAATCTATCTGGAGGAATACCTTTAAATTGTTTTAAAATACTGTGATGTGTTTAAAATAGAAAAAATATCCTGTTGAATTTATTACAAATTGTACATAAGTTTGAAACAGGCTTAAAGGGACCGATGCGCCATCTTCAGGATTTGATTTGGGTCTTGAATATATGTACATAGTTTCAATATATCTCAGAGTATCTTAAATTGACGAGTCGTTATTTTAACATTCAAACGCAGATAATTCCGGACACACATGGACTAGAAGGATCAAATTTCGATGGTGAACTATTACTGATTGGCTTAGCTGAAAAATTCCAGTTTCTGTGACTAAGGTAGGATCGGTCAAAATGGCACATCTGTCCCTTTAATTCACCACCATTATGAAACAAGTGCCAAAATTTGAATATGATAGTAGCGTCAACTTGTGAAAGATGGTTTTCACAGTAAAATTAACAATTGGTGATCTTGATATCAGTTTACAATTACAGGGCCCTGTGACTTAAAAACTCTTTGATCCAACATGTGAAATCCTAAACATTTTGATCAAAATTATTTTGGTCCTAGAAACTTGGTTGGCATGGTAACAAAAATTTAGACATGAGTTTGCTGATGATTTTTGTGCCTCAGTTTAGAAATCTTTGGAAAACATTTTCTGAATTGGACTGTCCAAATTTTCCAACACGAGTTTGATTTGGTTTCTATGGCAATATTTTCTGTGGTTTGTAGCTCCGTCAGAACCTCACTGTCGTTTTCAATAGAGCGATTTAAATTCACGATGGCGTTTTCTGCATAAATTAACAACGAAGATACAACAAAACTGAATACTGTGGTAAGAAAAATCAGAGGAAAAATAAATTGCATATAGAATTTTTGGGTATCAGTAATTGTTGCATATAAGTCTTCTGAGCAGTTTTTGATACTGGTGGCCATTTTGATTTCTGATGTTTTGAATTTGAGCACACTTGTATGATTGACACACTTGTTTATTATCCAATCAGCAGTCTTGACACAGATCACATGATTTGAGCTCAGCTCTCTCCAACAATTTACATTGATTTCTTCGTCTTTATCGCATTCGATCACAGTTGCATTCAAATAGTCAAAAATCTCAGAATTTGTCGTAGAACATGTTTTGCATATTAGTAAGTAAATTCCCCAAATGGCGCCAAGGAAACTTAACAGGAAGAACAAAATTGCAATGATCCGTTTTCCCAAACAACACAAGCTAAAAATGGTGGCAAGTATGATCAAACAGCCTAGGTAACTAGGCGTAACTATGTGGTAACATGGTGCCTCCGTTAACCTTACAGTGTCCTTGATGTAATCTAACGAACTTTTACACCTCACCAACAAGGTCACCGAAATTATTATTTGCACGCAAGCGACACTGAGACTTAATACAGCTAGTATTTTGGGGATTCGTTCAAATTTTCGTTGTTGGTTGTGATAATAGTTTATCTTTGAATCACTTTGTTTTTCAATCTCCATCTCCATTGGTTGATTTAAATTCATTATGACATTTGATTGGTTGATTTGAATTCAAAATAGCACTTGATTGGTTAGTAATGTTACATTTGATTAGTTGGATTTGGTTTCACTGGTATTCAATAGTTTTCAAAATCATTTTCACTTTTTGTCGAAGTTTGATATTTTTACTACTAATAATTCTGGATCTTTGAAAGGTTTTCTGTTCAGTAATTGGTTAGAATTTTAGTCAGAATTGATTGGCTCCCATCTTTTGGTTGGTTAGAATTGATTGTAATCTATTGTCTGATTGGTCAATTCTTTCCGCCAATCCATTGACTTTTCTTATGGAATTATGACCGGCTTATTAACTCCTGATTAAGTTGAGTCTATTTCTTGTCTGGATCTGAAATGAAAAATTGAAACATTGGAAGTAATTTTTATTTAATTCAACCATGAGAGAAAGAAAGAAAGAACTATGTTTTACAAGGATAACAACTTAGGTTCACAGTTAAGGATCTTTCCTGCCAGCTGGTCCTTGGCCAAACTTTTTTGCATTGATTGATTTTTCCAGGATTATCCGTACCCATTTACAGCTGGGTCGACTTGAATGAAGATGATTCAAGATCATCGGACTATCACTCACCGATCGAAATCGGAACCCACAACCACCATGTGCTCAACGTGTCCAAGTAAAGCACCAACGTTCTTACTGAAATTTTTTTATTACATTGTTGAGCATGGCCTCATTCACTGAGCCACCGTGGCTCCTTATATTTAATACTGAAATGACTGGTGACTGTAGCATGTAGTTGTTATTTATACCTAGCATTAGGGTGCCTACCTTATGTTTACTACTGAAATGTTATATTATGATTGTTAACTATAGCGTGATGTTTTAAGTATAATTACTGAAACAAGTTATATATTATTTATATCTCTATTGATTTTCCTTCAGTTTTATTCCAGTTTATTTCTTTACTTACATGCTACATTTCCATTTAAACAGGCTAATCAGAGTGGCTAAGTGAGTGGTTCTCCGACCTTGAGTCCAGGGTTCAATTCTGGCAACTCTACTTACTTTAATGGGTGATGGTGGGGGCATCAGAGTGGCTTAATACTTAGTTCTGTTCAATCCTGGCAACTTTACTTACTTGTGTATGCCATAGTTCCATTTAAACAGAGGAATCAGAGTGGCCAAGTGAGTGGTTCTCCGGATGCAGGTTTCAATCCTGGCAAATTTACTTACTTGTATGCCGTAGTACATTCAAAGGGGAAGTCAGGATTGGTTGAAAAAGGACAAAACACCATTAAACAATTGCATGGATGAGACCGAAAATACAATCTTCTGAATGGTGTGTGTCACCAGCTAGAGTCTTGTCATGAGTTTCATCAAAGGGCTCTGTCACAAGAGGCCACAGTAGGTCGTTTCCATATGTCTATGTCGATAATCACTTGCTGATCATGCAATTAAAGGGAAATGAATCTGATTATTTAATGACTATGTGTTTTGCGGACCATAAAGCATCAGCGACAAATATCAAACTGGTTCGATATTATAAATCCTGTTGACAACGCGATAATCTTGTCGTAGAAACACAGGCACATGTGAGATTTTACTCAAGATTTGAGTAAGCGACATAAATCAGCGACCAAGACTGTTTGTGTGCCTGCACCATTAGCTATCTGTTACCATCTATGATAGTTGATTAATGCGATGCTAGGGAGAATTTGGAATGAATTATTGATATCCATTATTGATTAACTATTTGTGTTATACTTACTGTAATAATGCTCTAGAAGTTATTAATGTTAGACCATGCATTATTTATTACTTCATTATTCTAATATAATACAATACTTTAATTACAGTTGGCCATATTACAGAGTTTATATTGAAATATTTATACCATAGACGTAATGAAGCGTTGAACATGTTTTGTAATATGATATAGTCGTTCGGATGGGACAATAAACCGAGGCCCCTTGTGCTACAGACTGTGCAAGTTAAAGATCCCTATACAGTTGGAAATTGAAAAAGAGCAGGCTAATGCCGCTGTTCTGGCAAAATTTCCCCTCATTGCACTCTGCATGGTGTTGCCCGTCTTCATTAGCCCACATGGTGCAGAAAAGTAGGATGTAAAACTCCATTCATTTCATTTCATTTGTAATATGATAGCTCTCTACAAGTGCAGTGGCATATTTAGGTTGTAATTTTGGGTCGTGACTCAGCAATGAAATATATTTATCATTGAAATAACAGTCTGAAAATATTGATTTTTATTGTAACTGTTTATTATTCATGTTGAACATCAGCTGCGACTAACAGTCTTGTCATATTTTTTGAAATATTTATATTGATTTTGCTGTCATGGCAGCCCTCATGCTTTAGTCAGACATCACTTGCCAGGATCTTTCTTCTATAGGTCGAGATAATACATTCACATTTTTCAACCCGGTTTCCCCCTGTCAGTGATGCAGGTAAGAGGGGCTGACAAAAAAGCGTCTAGTCGTTTGGATGCGACAATAAATCGAGTCCCTGTGTGCTACAGGCTGTGCACGTTACATATACCTTGATATCATTGTAAAAGAGCAGGCTAATTCCACTGTCCTGGCAAAATTTCCCTCATTTTACCCTGCATGGCGTTGCCTGTCTTCATTACAAAAAAAAAAACCCAAAAAACTGTCTTGCCATGAGAAACAAAAACCAAAATATATGCAACCCTACCTTAGTTTTGGTTTAAAAGAGTCTTAATCCTTATTAAAGACCTCTTTATTTGTGAAGTCCTCTGCCCTTGCTTTTGTAATGTTAATTCCAAATCCAATTCACCCTTGTAGATACCATATACGGGTCCCCATAAGTTTTCAATGATTTAAGTTCTCTGCCTTTGCTTTCGTAATGCCAAGATCAAGTGAAGGTTTCACTTGTAGATACCATATGAGATTTCCTATTAGTTTTCAATGATTTAAGTTCTCTGCTTTTGCTTATGTAATACCAAGATCAAGTTAAGGTCAGACTTGTAGATACCATATGAGATTTCCTATTAGTTTTCAATGATTCAAATCCTGTGCCGATGCTTTTGTAATACCAATTCCAAGTTGAAGTCTCCCATGTAGATACCATATGAGGTCCAATTTAGTTTTCTATGATTTTGGTAATGAAAACTCCAAATCCTAGTCACCCTTGTATATTTTGTAATGCCAATTCCCTGACGCGACCAGCTTGGTAGACATTGAATCAATCTCTAATGAAGTGTGTAATAGAAATAACAGTGAATCATCAATAACCATACAAGTGGTGCCATCTTTAATCCTTCCTTCCTTCTGTACACTTGAATTTTATCAGCCTTGACACTATGGCAGCTTCTGTATTGATTGATACAAACACGGTCTCCTACTCTCTTTTTATTGCCTTGAGATTGATTTTTTCTCTTCTGGCTTCAGACCACAACTGTTTCTCTTTCTCTTTTGGTTTTGTTGGGAGCCACAGTGGCTCAATGAGTAAGACGCTTGTTCGCAGGGTTCAATCCCAGCATAGGTCGAGATTTGTCAACCCAGTTTCCCCCTGTCAGTGATGCAGGTATGAGGTGCAGACATGGAAAAAGTGTCAAGTCGTTAGGATGTATTTGTAGACTAAATAAATGCAGAGAATGTCAACTTATTTATCAAGTGGTTTGGACACTCATACCACCTTTGTTAGAGCCATATCAAATACATTGATAGCTATATTGGGATCGTACAAGGTTAATAGACAATTTAGATAACAGAATGCAATGTTTTCTTACAATCATTTTATCGAGAAATTCAATATCATTCCTTCAATTTGTTTTGATGTCTTTTTGTTTCCATTTGAGTAGCTTCAGTAAATTGTCACGCAAGCCAATCTCTGGAACTCTGTAGACCAATTATCAGGATTGTTCCTCAAAATAGATGGAATTGGTCTTAAAATAATGTCGGTTTATCGAACAACTAGCAAACACAAGCTGTATTTATTGTCTTAAAATAAACACAATGTAAAGGCCAGTTCATACAAAAATAATACCTCCTTTTGTACACCAATTTATCAATTTTTGTTAATGATGGGTTTCCTTTATATTTTATTGTCAAATTAAGCAAACAATTACTATTGCTATACTGATGAATTATCATGTATTCTTAATCATGTCATTTGTTAGAGCGATATCAAAAATAAGTCATTAAAGATGGGTTCCCTTATTTTTTTAGTGCCAAATTAAGCAAACTAGTTGATTTGGTGTTTTTAATGAACTATCATGTATTAATCATATCATTATGTTCTTGCATATAATTAAGAGTTTTAACCAGTCATAAATGTCCATGTATGTACAGTCTGGATAAACAAAATAAGACTTTTTGACCTTTCTCAATTGGTCACTCATTGGAATTCTCTTCTAATTTAGCTAATTATGAATTAATTATGGACATGTGAGACAAACTGATATTTTTCTAAGTCCTTAGAAAACTTCTACTTTCTATTCATATAAGTATTAGCATTTTCATTTTCATAAGTGAAAATAAGGGAACCCATCTTTAAATAACAAAACTAGGAATTGGGTATGTGCAAGCTTGTTGATTGGTCCGTTTGAAAATCAGGGAGGTCATGAATATTTATAATCATGGTCCCAAATACGAGGATTACCTGCTGAAGAGAAACTCGATAGAAATATATAGGTTGTAGTGTCAGACATGTTGAAGAGATTCATCTGGAGTGAGCCTTAAACCATTATGAATGACTGTATATAGATATTGATTATTCTTCTCTTCAATTTACTAGAGTCCAAATCAAGTTAATCTGTACTAACAACATGTTGACTGCTGAATGCATCAATTCATCAACATTGCTGCAACATTTTCATATTTTTATCAGCAGATAAACCTCATATTTGAGACAGATGTAATAAATATTCATATTATACGATCTTTCAAACAAGCCAATCAATATGTTTGCATGTAGTTTTTGAATGCAAGTGTATATAAGGGTCATGCCTACTGTATGGAATAAGTCATTCTGATTGGTTAAAATTCCCCACTTCACATAAATCTCTTTAGATAGAGTGAACCACATTCCCAACTATTTATTAATAATGAGGTGAGGTTTAAAGACAATGTCTTGAACCTTGCTGACAATAATAGAATAATGGGGAACTTTATTTGGATATAGTCAGAGCTGTATTTAAGCCATCCATATCACTTCTCAAAATCAAAATCTGATGTTTGGTCCATCTACAATTGAATACAAATTATCAACATTTGCTTGATAAGGGCCAATGTTTGAATACAATGTGCTGAATAAAGCTGACAAGAAATCAATGGGCTCTTTTTTCAGAATATAGTCAGACCTTTATTTAAGCCATCCAAATCACTTTTTAAAATGAAAATCTGATGTCTGGTCCATTTACAATTGAATGAAATTAACTTTGTCGGACATGCCGAATAATTTATAATAGATTTTTCATATTGTATATTTCAGACTGAGAAGGGTCAAGTTTATCCTGCAAGCGAAGAGCATGAACAAAACTTTTCATATTTAATTGTGGATCCTCTAAAACGTCATGTGACAGTGTTTTATCATAGATTTGGTGCTGCTGTATTCGATTCTTAGGAGTGCCAATTCAACCATCAATTTTCTACAGCATTATTACTCATCACAATTTGATATAGACTGAAACATTTGCCTCTATTCCAGCCTCTAATAGCTATCTTGACAGTTATTCAGCCTCTGATAGCTATCTTGATAGATATCCAGCCTTTAATAGCAATCTTGACAGTTATTCAGCCTTTGATAGCTATCTTGACAGTTATTCAGCCTATGATAGCCATCTAGACAGTTATTCAGCCTCTGATAGCCATCTTGACAGTTAATCAGCCTCTGATAGCCACCTTGACTGTTAATCAGCCTCTGATAGCTATCTTGACTGTTAATCAGCCTCTGATAGCTATCTTGACAGTTATTTAGCCTCTAATAGATATCTTGATAATTATTCAGCCTTTGATAGCTATCTTGACAGTTATGCAGCCTCTGATAGCTATCTTGACAGTTATTCAGAGGCTGATAGCTATCTTGACAGTTATTCAGCCTCTGATAGCCATCTTGACAGTTATATAGCCTCTGATAGCTATCTTGATAGATATCCAGCCTTTAATAGCTATCTTGACAGTTATTCAGCCTTTGATAGCTATCTTGACAGTTATTCAGCCTATGATAGCCATCTAGACAGTTATTCAGCCTCTGATAGCCATCTTGACAGTTAATCAGCCTCTGATAGCCACCTTGACTGTTAATCAGCCTCTGATAGCTATCTTGACTGTTAATCAGCCTCTGATAGCTATCTTGACAGTTATTTAGCCTCTGATAGATATCTTGATAATTATTCAGCCTTTGATAGCTATCTTGACAGTTATGCAGCCTCTGATAGCTATCTTGACATTTATTCAGTCTCTGATAGCTATCTTGACAGTTATTCAGCCTCTGATAGCTATCTTGAAAGTTATTCAGCCTCTGATAGCTATCTTGACAGTTATTAAGCCTCTGATAGCTATCTTGACAGTTATTGAGCCTCTGATAGCTATCTTGACAGTTATTCAGCGCTTGATAGCCATCTTGACAGTTATTCAGCCTCTGAAAGCCATCTTGACAGTTATTCAGCCTCTGAGAGCCATCTTGACAGTTATTCAGCCTCTGATAGCCATCTGGACAGTTAGTCAGCCTCTGATAGCCATCTGGACAGTTAGTCAGCCTCTGATAGCCATCTGGACAGTTAGTCAGTCTCTGATAGCCATCTGGACAGTTAGGCAGCCTCTGATAGCCATCTGGACAGTTAGTCAGCCTCTGATAGCCATCTGGACAGTTAGCCTCTGATAGCCATGTGGACAGTTAGTCAGCCAATGATAGCCATCTGGACAGTTAGTCAGCCAATGATAGCCATCTGGACAGTTAGTCAGCCTCTGATAGCCATCTGGACAGTTGATCAGCCTCTGATAGCCATCTGGACAGTTAGTCAGCCAATGATAGCCATCTGGACAGTTAGTCAGCCTCTGATAGCCATCTGGACAGTTAGTCAGCCTCTGATAGCCATCTGGACAGTTGGTCAGCCTCTGATAGCCATCTGGACAGTTAGTCAGCCTCTGATAGCCATCTGGACAGTTACTCGGCCTCTGATAGCCATCTGGACAGTTACTCGGCCTCTGATAGCCATCTGGACAGTTAGCCTCTGATAGCCATCTGGACAGTTACTCAGCCTCTGATAGCCATCTGGACAGTAAGACTCTCTGATAGCCATCTGGACAGATAGCCATCTGGACAGTTAGTCAGCCCCTGATAGCCATCTGGAAAGTTAGCCTCTGATAGCCATCTGGACAGTTAGTCAGCCTCTGATAACCATCTGGACAGTTACTCAGCCTCTGATAGCCGTCAGGACAGTTACTCAGCCTCTGATAGCCATCTGGACAGTTAGTCAGCCTCTGATAGCCATCTGGACAGTTACTCGGCCTCTGATAGCCATCTGGACAGTTACTCGGCCTCTGATAGCCATCTGGACAGTTACTCGGCCTCTGATAGCCATCTGGACAGTTAGCCTCTGATAGCCATCTGGACAGTTACTCAGCCTCTGATAGCCATCTGGACAGTAAGACTCTCTGATAGCCATCTGGACAGATAGCCATCTGGATAGTTAGTCAGCCCCTGATAGCCATCTGGAAAGTTAGCCTCTGATAGCCATCTGGACAGTTAGTCAGCCTCTGATAACCATCTGGACAGTTACTCAGCCTCTGATAGCCGTCAGGACAGTTACTCAGCCTCTGATAGCCATCTGGACAGTTAGCCTCTGATAGCCACCTGGACATTTAATCAGCCTCTGATAGCCATCTGAACAGTTAGTCAGCCTCTGATGGCCATCTGGACAGTTAGTTAGCCTCTGATAGCCACCTGGACAGTTAGCCTCTGATAGCCATCTGGACAGTTAGCCTCTCTGATAGCCATCTGGACAGTTAGTCAGCCTCTGATAGCCATCTGGACAGTTAGCCTCTCTGATAGCCATCTGGACAGTTAGCCTCTCTGATAGCCATCTGGAAAGTTAGCCTCTGATAGCCATCTGGACAGTTAGTCAGCTACTGATAGCCATCTGGAAAGTTAGCCATCTGGACAGATATCCTCTGATAGCCATCTGGAGAGATGGCCTCTGATAGCCATCTGGAGAGATAGCCTCTGATAGCCATCTGGACAGTAAGTCAGCCTCTGATAGCCATCTGAAAAGTTAGCCTCTGATAGCCATCTGGACAGTCAGTCAGCCT